GGGAAGGACCATGCTCTCACAGAATACCAGCGTAAAATAGCAGTTCAATGCTGCTGTGTTTTATATGGAGAGTGTAGAGAACCGGAGACCCTTTTTACTGAAGACGAGGCATTTCACCTTAGTCCTCATGGCTGGCTATGCATCTGCATTTTAGTTCTTGTTTGATGATAAATGTAGATGTCTATGGGCCACAGCATCCACTTACCATCAGGTGGACTGTGTGCTTGTTTGTCACCCACATCTTATATAAAAAAATGAGTATAGATTTTTTTGGTAAAATCATATCTTCACTTTTTACACAGGATATTGACCCAAAGTTACTTCTGTAACAGCTTCGGCACTGCGGGAAGTGCAATCCCTTCGCCCTAAACCTCACCTCCGCAGATTTGGCTTATCGGTCACCTTAGGTGACCAATCTCAGCCACTACGGATCTCATGGTTGCTTGTGATTTGTTACACAAGGGCAGAGGCTGCTCTCTCTCCGCACCTACGGCTTTACAAAATACTGTAGAGGTAAGGCAAACAAGATTATGGGGAGTCTGGGCGTGCTGAATCAGCTTTAGAACAAATTCGACCAATTTTATCTATAAAATCAGGTTGCCCTAAACTCTGTTATGATAGTGGAAACTAAAAACATTATTAAAATAAAAGTACCGAATGTCTATAGCCAAAGCCCTATTACACTGTTTTTAGATGTCGGAAATGCCTTTTGAATTAATTATAATAAAAATGAATTTCACTAAAAATGGCATATAACGAAACGCAAATACATCAATACATTTTTTTAAAATATGGATACACCCATAAAATAGGTAATCACTCAAACCCAAACAATCCATTTGTAGCTGAAGACAAGACTCATATACAACAAATTGAGCTGCAGTGGAGAGCAGTCAAGAGGTTTTTCAGACAAAAAATTATAACAATTCACATTATTTTGCAATCTGTTTTAAAACCGAATCACTACACCCCAACTCTACATAGTTTAGTCTGCCTTATTCTTAGTGTTTTTGTAAAACCGTAGGTATGGATGTGGAGCAGCCCCTGCCCGCCGTAGCAAATTGAAGGCACCCATGCTCACCTCTGCAGCTTTAGCTTATTGGTCGCCTTAGGCAACCAGATTCAGCCACTCTAGCTCACGTGAGAACCTAGAATTTGCTATGCAAGGACAAAAGATCTGCACTTACCGTAGGGATGAAGCTGTTACATAAGTAACTTTGGGTCAATATGCCTGTGTAAAACTGAGGTTGATTTTACAAAAAAAAAAATCATTACTCATAAACTATACATTTCTGCAAGAGAGGATAGGTAGGGGGTCTTCTCCTGCACCCAACCCTTCCACCCCACACCCACACGCAAGTACCGATGTCTATAGTTTTACCATAAGTTCAAACTTAACGCTAATAATCTTCCTAAACTAATTATGAAAAATCAAGTACCGGGCATCTATAGCCAACCTTCTAATTACCAACAAGTGGAAGGTTCTCATTTGTTACCATTACTCTATAACAAGAAAAACAAGTAAGTTCTGTACTAACTGAAAGCAATATAATTAGTTTCTCACACTAGGTTAATGGAAGATAATTCTAAAAATTGCTTGTTTCTGTAGCAAGTATAATATTTTAAGACAATGTTCGGTAATAAAAAGATATTGAATGTTTGTACAGTTGAGACCATACCTATATCCAATTCGCGTTTTCCTGCTTAATCTGTCCGAAAAATCAACATTACCAGTCAAGAATTTTCCTTTAAATTTATTAAAAGAGTCTTTAACAGACAGGTGCAATTGTTCAATACTTTCGTTTTCTTCCTCTTCGTAAGGGTCAGGTTGATCAGCTTCAGGTAGGTCACCGGTTTCATACACATCGGGTTGATCGTAAGCCTTAAAGATTATTCAGCAATCGTAAAGTTATAAAATCGATTTATCTCAGGAAAGTTAATTTACTAATACTTACTATACCAGGAAGATTTTCATATTTTGGATCTGCCATATTATTTTTAATCGAATGTCGTGAGAATAGTTGTTTTAAAGTAGTTAACAATAATACTTGGGAAGAATAAATTGGAATATTATCTAATAAAACTTTGTAAGATCCACTGAAGATCTGTAATAATGCCTTCGTATATATTACTACTCTTTGATAATGACGTCAATTTGTCAAAAGAAAAATTAAGTAAACTGTCAAAGTCAGTCCACGCAATGTTGCCACATTGAGTTAGTGTAGTTTCTAGACTGCAAAAAAGTCGCCAAATGTCGCTAAATTTAATTTTATTAAAAAGAAGTGAAACAAAGAAAAATCGAACAATATAATGGTCTCCACACACGGTCAGTAAAAATGATCAGTTGAACTGACGTACATCCAAAAACTGATCGTGAGTGTGAAATCTTAAGTTGAAATTTTTAAATGATGGCACTCCATGGAGTTTTCCGGGCGCACCGTAATTCGGTGGCTTCAGTTCGTTTTAATTACTAATAAGTACCTACTTTCTTAGTAGCTATCACAAACTATTACGAGTTACTAACGTGGTACTAACGTACTTACATTATTTCTATGCTATTTACATTTTTATTATTTTATATATTTAGAGAATTTCTTTTGACGAAGGATGAAGACTACTAAGGTGACTGGGATGATGTCACCTTTCTTATGGTTGACTCAGAAGATGTGTAAAGGATCTCAGTGATGCTACGTAGTGAACCATCGTGTCTTTTTCAACTCATTTTCAAAAAGGTTCATGAATACCTAGATGACTGTGATGATATCACCTAGCTGATGGTGGCCTCGAAGGTGGGTTTAAAAGATTTCAGTGGGGTCACTTCATAGCATCATTGTGTTTGGACTCATTTGAAAGGTACTCATAAAGACCTATATGACTGTGATAATCTCACATTCCTGATGGTGGACTCAATAATATCTGGGTAAAGGATCTCAGTTATGCCACTGCGTAGAATTGTGTTTTTTAAACTCATTTAAATACCAAGGTGAATGTGATGGTCACACCTACCTGATAATGGACTTCGAAGGTGAGTATAGGATCTCAGTGATGACACTAGATAGGATGATCATGTTTGACTTCATTAGAAAGGGCTCATACAGACCTAGGTGACAGTTATGATCTCACCTTTCTGATGGTGCAATCTGAAGGTGTGTATAGGATCTCAGTGACGGCAGTATTTTTACATTTTCATTATTTTTAATTTATAGAAGTCACGCAATTTTATCTGTGACATTTCTTAATTAAAAATTACAATTTATGTACCACGCCCCACCCCACTCCAAAGGGGGGGAGAAAATACAAAACTAAACTAAATACAGTGTACATATATGTGTTAGTGAGGAGGGGAGATCCCTTGCTACTACGTAAGCCGGTACTGGCAAGGATCCGGTCTATCTCCTTGCCGTCAGAATTTCTGCACGCGGAACAAGGATTATTAATCCTCTCTGACGAGAGATGTGGAACCAGAAAATTAATACAATACGAAAAATTTATTATTTTATAAAACTCAACATATTTGATTATCAAACAAATCAAATAATTATTTTATTAATTCTAGACTTGTTTATTTTATCATTTTTGTACAATCTTATGCTGGGGCCACACTAACGAGAAATGCCGTTAATTATCGCGTTGATAGACATTGAATGTAGGTGTAGCCACGACTTAACGCGTTAATTTTACAATGGCATTAACAATACCGTTTGCCGTTTGGCGATAACTCGAGTGTCGATATATGTACAGACTTTGTATTAAACGTGTTCGTAGAAAACCGTTAAATAAGGATGGCGCCACTATAGCTACAGGTTACATTTTAGAGAACGCGCCGAAAAATATTAGTGGGTTAGATGACTTTTTCGAGGTTATATTTACTATTTTTTGCTACTAAGCAGTTTAGCAGCACACTTCAATTCACTACAATCATTTCATCCCAGTAGCTAATCCAGCGCTGTTGTGGATAGTTTTTGAACTGTTATTTACTGCTTACAAATGGACACTTTTTCAACTATTGTACTATGGGAGTTGGTACTCCTTACTTCTACATTCCATAATTTAACTCCATGTTTATTAATTATTAATTAAAAAAATTCGCTTGGATGTCTGTTCTTTAATCTATGTCTTCATTTCATTCGGAATCTTCAATTTTATAGAAGGTTTTGGGAAATTTTGCCGATAGCTCAAGCAGCTCAACCCAGTGGGTAGTCGGTGACGACAGTCACTAAAGTTCATAAGGCGCCTAAGCGATCAAAACACTTCGAGGTTTATATTAACATCCGAGCACCTGTTTCGTTGTTTTTTCTAATAGTTCACATGCGCAGACACTTAATACACAAAATCGCATCACTTATACAAATCAAAATCCACTTAAATCCATTATCTAAACGATAAAAAGGAGCAAGAATCTGTCGACAGCCAAGTTCCTACCAAAACTCCAAGCTCGAAGGTGTTTCTTACATTTGATGGTGTATAGATGAATTTAGTTCAATCTGTATAATTTTTGTCATGTTGTGGTAATAGCAACACCGGTGACTAGAAAAGGAGAAATGATTGGCCTAAAGGTCTAGATACCAGGCCATAAACTCAAAAAAAAAAGGAGAAAGGACACGTCACACGTCAATTCTTGCTACATATTTATTTATCTATGCGTCTATTTGACTTTGCCAGACTGCTCTCGGACGGTGAGTCATAGATATTTCGATTTTCATTCGGACTCAAGTAAAATAATTTATCGTCATCGTCATTGAAATCCTTACTTCAGCTAGGCACTTGTAAAAAATAAATTAAAGTTTTTAAACATGAGTTTGCAGTGGACCATAATTGCGTCATTTCTATACGCCGAAATTGCGTTTGTGCTATTACTTACTTTGCCGATTGCAAGCCCTTCGAAATGGCAGAAATTTTTCAGATCCAAATTTTTAGCGTATATCAGCGGACAAGCATCTATTTACTTCCTTGTGTTGATTGGAGTATTGATTCTATGTTTGCTCGATGCAATTCGGGAAATGCAAAAGTATTCAAACTTAGAGACAACCGATCATCAGCATCTTGATGCCGAAATGCAAGGTAATATGCGTTTGTTCCGAGCCCAAAGGAACTTTTACATTTCCGGATTCGCACTATTCCTACTGGTTGTCATTCGGCGATTAATACAATTGATTTCTGAATTGGCGACTGTGCTGGCTACATCAGAAGCTAATTACCGGCAAGCGCAAAGTGCTTCTGTTGCTGCTAAGTCACTTCTTGAGCAACATGGATCGGGTGACGAGAAGACTAAGAAGGAAATTGAAGATCTAAAATCTCAAATTTTACAGCTTGAAAAGGATTTGGCGAGAGAGAAAAAAGATAAAGAAGCTGTTAAATCTCAAGCGGAAAGTCTCAACAGAGAATATGATAGGCTTACAGAAGAACACAGCATTCTACAAAAGAAAATTACTGTAGCAGGTGGTGATAAAAAGGATGCATAGAAGTCGTTTAATGTGGGTGGAATACATTGGGCTAACAGTATATAATATCTCATGCTTAAAAGACATTGTTATTACCAAATTGTAACAATAATTTTTCCTCTGAATGTACACATGTTAAAAACCTTGAACTTCAGGGTTAGCTTTTAAGGTACTGTCTAAAGATTCATACAATACATAATTGCATAATTATCCATTTAATGCTTTTTTGTTCCCACATGTTCTGTTAATTTTGTTAACTAGAAGGCTGAGGAAATTGTTTTGATTGAATGTTTTTGTGTTATTTTATTTATGTGTATAGAGTTAGGTTTTGTAATGTTTCTGTAATTGAGACTTGTAAAAGTCATTATTTACTCCTTAAGAAGCAATTAACCAATGCATTTTGTATTTTTATAGCTTTGTTAGTAATTTATATTACATACTAAGCATATAAGTTTTTGTAGGTAATTCATGTAGACATTTTGTTTATATTTGTTGATGTTCAAGGTCCAATAAATGGGTCCTTAGTTAGTTTGTAAATCAAACAGTACTATAATAAATTATACATTTTTTGAAATGTGACAAAAAGTTATAAAAACATTTTTCACAGTTCTTAAAGCACAGTTCAAACTTTTGAAATATTATTTCAATTACCACTAACTTTTATGGACATAATATGCCATATACTTTATAGCAACATAGTGAAGCGGAGCCTGAACTGAGCTTTAAACCTTACAAAAGTAATGTAGGCAAATGACACCACTGTTTTGTTTTGCACTAGTCCTTTAGATCCTGAGGTATCAAATTTGCTCTAATTCCTGCAAAGCTAAAAAAAGCTTGTCATGCTCCCTCTGCAGATTTTAATTTCTTTTTAATTAAATTTCTGTGTTTTTTTTTTTTTCCTTCATCAAGGTTTACCTTTTGGCGATACTGCTGTTTTTGTAATTTATACTTTCTTACTTTAAATAAAGCATGGTACTAAATAGGAACTTTACTTTCAATTTATTAAGATCATTGTGCTCATTGTTGGTTAAAGAAGTAATCAATCTATCTGATTCAATTATTGACAGTTCTTTTGTTTTGTACTGCACATGTTTATAACTGTAAAGTTCATATTTATGGTGAAGTTTAACATTTGGTGAGTTTTACTTGCTATTAACTTAATGGTTTGTTAAAGTATTGCATCAGGTAGGGATAAGGATTATATTAATGTGGGGGGTGTTATAAATTAAATTTGTATTTTCCCATTGGAAATGTTGTTTTATTACATAACTATACTATATTGCATATTTCTATTTATAGTTTGAATTAAAAATTAAAAAAAACCCTAAACAAAAACAGCTGATAATCTTCAAATGGCTGAACAGATTTTCTTGAACCATAGCTAAGAACTAAGAAGAGCCTTAAGGCTCCTTTTAAAGTAAAAAAAAAACTTAGTCAAAGTTAGTTCATCCATTTAGGATCTATGATGCCATAGAGAGAGATACACACCACAAATGTACAAATCTCCTCTGTGTTTGTGTCTATTCTTACATAACGAAGGTCTACTTTGCAAAACAGTTGTCTTTTAGCAATACCATGATGTTTGGTGACATCAATATTCATGTGAATAAGTCATTTCTTTTCGGGTGTTTCCATACACAAGATTCATTTTTTATCTATCTGCAACAAAAACATTATTTTAAGCCTATGTTAACTGATTCAGTGCGAATGGCTCACTGGGCATGCCATTGATTATTTTCCTGTGTGGCGGATGACACGCGAGTCGTGGCATTTAAAAATCGCTATAACTTGTTATAAAATTGTGTTACAGCACTCATTACAATCGCTCACAAACTCAATTGTAAACAAGTTTCTGGACAACAAGTCTCCTGTTAAAAAATATGTTTATCTTATTGTTTAATTTTGCTTAAAATGGTTGAACTGCCGCCTTATTACTATCATATGGCCGAAGTACCAGGTGCTCTTATGATATAGTATAAGGTTTATTTGTGCTTGAGACAGTTCGAACGCGTTAATGTATGCGTTTTTACGCTTCAGCTATATTATGGTTGCAGCATGAATGGGTTGGCTTGACCGGGGAAGGACCACACTCTCACAGAATGCCAGCATCAAATAGCAGCTTAATGCTGTTGTTTTTCGTATGGTGAGTGTAGAGAACCGAAAACCCTTTTTATTGGAAACCAAGCATTTCATCTTAGTCCTCAGGGGTGGCAACGCATTATGATTACCTATTTATTGAGGATAGATGTAGATGTTATAGACCAAAGCACCCACTTACCATCAGGTGGACTGTGTGCTGGTTTGCCACCCATATTTTATTAAAAAAAATGCATAACAGTGCCGGCGCTTCTGTCTTTTGTTTTTTTCCTTTGTAAAACACTTAGCTTGCTATTCTTACTAATTAGACGTTTACAGATCGACTTACTTTTTATACTGTTGACCATACCGACGGTATTCGCTTGTGTACTGGACATTATTTGTAAATATCAATGGATCTTAAACCTTATTTTTTCCAATTTAAGGTTCTTGATTGTTTAATATTTACAAAGGTTATTATTAGATTAAAATTTAATTTAATAAAATCCAAGGTTTTTCAGGGTGATGTAGCCGTACCTATTTATATAAATGATTTTTCTCTATAAAACAAAAAATATGACAAAGGTTTGTAATCTGCATTAAAAAGTCACTCTCTATTTCAAGGGAAACGCGTAGAAAAAAACCTAGTTAGCCCATTGAGGTATTACCATACGCTAGTAATATAGTTCGATGTAGTTAGCCACTAAAAACAAGTATCCTTCCGTTTGCAACTGATGTTGATGTAACTGGTTTAAAACAAATCAAATCAAAAATATTTATTTCAGATTCTTCATCTTATACTATTGTTAGTAACATTAATAACATTATTAACTACTAAACAAGTGAAAAAAGCATAAAAAAGAACATTATTTTTACACATGGCTGATTACACAATATGTGTGTCATCAACTTCTATAGTGCTTGACACGACAGGCGCGTCACGAAATATTTGTTCGCCGCCACAACAAAAGTTGTCGAAATTGGTGTCGCAACGAATTGGTAAAATAGGGCTCACACTTCTAATACTGAAGATATATTGATCGTTTCGAAGGCTTACAACAACAGTGACAAAGGTATATTGTGTCCATTGAGTCTCGTTCGCCTTTGAAGCTATTTTTCTGAAGAATATTTTTTTATTGTAAAGCAATATCTTTCTAACATAGAACCTAAATTGTTTTGTCTATCAAAGTGCCCTAGGAAAGCTTTAACCCTTTCCCTGTCCCATGAATTATATATGAACATTTTGCTTGTATAACTATTTTCTACTTCGCGTAACTTAAGCTGTTGCCACCTTGCCATTCCCCTCACCCTCTACACAATGAACCAGATGATTTACAATATGAAAGTATCAAACAACAATAGAGTTCATCTGGTGAAAAGTGACAGTAATCTTCTGGCTTTCTTAACTTTCAAACTAGAACATAGTACTGTTGCATTTCAGCTGAAATAAAAGGATGGGTATCGATTAAGACAGAAAAACTTGATTTAAAGTTCTATCCAACTGCAGGAAGTTGACGGTAGCAGTTGTCTCAAGAATAAATTTGTTACAATATTTATCGCCTCTAGTTATGCCGCGCGTCCTTGTCCCAAGCCTCGCGCTTTGATTTATTAATAAACCCGTTGTCAATTTTTTTAACTTATTCACTCAACAGCCGCTTTGCGCAGATATACGTTCCATTTAAGGGGAGGGGTATGTTCCAAAATAGAATCCAGTGTACTGTCCAATGCAAATGACGTCATGAATCGGAGGTGATACGTTCCAAATCATAGGACAGTATATGACGCCATACATAATTTGCGCCATATTGGTAAAGTGTTGGCGATTATTTTGTAATTTTATGCTCCAAAAATCATTATATCCTCCTAATGGAAATACCAGCAATTATTCTATAATTTGAATAAATAAAAACAAATTCTGGCATGTTTCATTCAGCGTACACACAATTAAAAATTGTTTTAATATGGCCGGATATTCGATACAATATGACGGCGGCTAGCCAGTACAACATGGCGTCAATTGATGACGTCATTTGTATTCGGCAGTACACTGGAAACGTTTCGGAATATATCCAGGGTTTTCGAGCAGCCCACATTAAGTTTACCTAAGCGCGGTCTCCACTCTACGACACGTCTATTCCATTGCTTGTCACTATGCCAGCTCATTGTAACGTCAATTTCCGAACATGGTAGACTATGTCGGAGACTGGTCTACCAGCAGATTTCAGTATCGACCCGAAAAACGGGTAGCACAGCTTTTTCCTTTCCGCTCTTGCTGAGTTTATGAAGTTGTTGTGCCGTACTTACCATACAGATGGTACCACTGGTAGAAGACTCATCTTCTACAGGATTTGCGATATAGGCGAGGAGAAGACCGGACGAAGGTTTTCGAATGCTTTCCAGCCAGCCAGTAGGATATTCAGAAAGAAAAGCCAGCTCCCGACTTTAAAATTACGTCAATAGCGCATTCGTTCGTTCATTACTGCTCATAACAAGTCCACAGTTGAGTATAGGTCCCCCGTAGGAATGTCACAAAACACGGCTCCGAATAGGCTGGCCAGAGCCGAGAATTCAAATATTGTTCAAATTCATATGTAATCCAACACGAGAGGATATATTCAGGCTGTTTTTGAATTTTCTGCAAAGATTCTGCCATGTAAACAATTTTATCGTCAAAAATCAAGTGAGAGATGTGTTCAATGTATCATTACCGTTTTAAGTATTGAAAACATCTTCCATTAGATCTTTAATTTTCATTACAGCCTATAAAAAGGCCACTGCCACTGCTAGACCTATGAGGCTTATGTTCGGGTGTAGACTTGTGACGTAACAAACTGACGTCATTAAATTTAAAAGTTAAGTTGGGAACTGGCTTTTCTGTTCTAACATCACAATATAACACCACTAGCCCCCCAAGCCCCGCTTTACTATGTTATTGGCTGGAGAGC